ATTTACTCCACTATATATAATAAAAATAAAAACAGGGGGGTGCACCACCGCACACGGTGCACGGTGGTGGATAGTTTGTATTTTTATTTTATTAAATCCATCAAATAAAATAAAATCTATCTACCACTGCGCACCACCGCCAGTGGAGAATCCACCAATGCACACTGTGCACAGTGTTTTTATTTTTATTTTATTTAATCCACTAAATAAAATAAAAATAAAAGGGGGGGGGGGGGGCGCACCACCGCCAGTGGAGAATCCACCTCTGCCACTGCTGCTGCGGTGGTTCATTTTATTTAGTGAATTAAATAAAATAAAACTAACTTTTGCAGCTTAATAATAGTTTTGGTTTTCCTGTGACTTATTTGTAGTATGATAAAGCATACAGTAAATATATGCTTCCAATGTTTTGTTCTTTCTTTTGTTTGTAAATAACAAATGACTTTTTTTGTGAATAACGTCTTGAGTTCGTATGACGTCACATGGACTAGTCGATGTTGACTCGACTTTTATCATGATGAAATTGACTTTAAAAAAGATGTAGTTGTATATCTTAGATATTTTAGCGTACCTTTTAGCGTACCGTTTGGCGTACCATTTAGCGTATATCTGTTTATGTCTCAGATTCTTATTTACTGTTTCTTTTTACAATTCATATTTTTGATATTGTTGGATGTTACTGGGTCCCTGTGTACACAGTTTCATTCCACCTCATGTACCACATGTGATGTGAATGACAATAAAGAACCTTGACCTTGATATGAAATTTGAAAAGATAAATCTTTGTTTATTATTTTAGATTTTTCTCTGCCCTCTTACGTCATAGTCAGATTTCTGTTTCACATGACAGCAGCCATATTTCTCCCAGCATCCATCCATAACGGCCAGTTTGTTCCCATCATGCACCAGTTTCTGCAGGTTGCCAATGAGCTGCTGCATGTAAGGAGAGTCCCACTACACTGCTGCCTTTCACTTCTGACACTGTTGGGTCTTTTTTCCCCTCCGCCACCAGTCAGGACTAATTTCCTATGAAGGCCTCAGGCATGGCGCACCACCTCGTGTCCAAACATGGAGTCCATAATCTGTCTGCTGTGATCAGTTGTCTGTCCACCCTTTCAAGCCTGTCCCGCTCCCTTCAGCCATGTCGGGACCCTGCTGTCACCCCCAATGTTTACCGAACTACTGAGGACCCGTTCAGAACTCAGGTGGCGTCAAATGGAGCTGAAACCCCTCCAGGATCCCAGTGCGTCTCCCTTCATGTGGCATTCTCTTGGCTTCCACCTAGATGGAATTTTTTTTCCTTTTTTTTATAGAAAGGAAAACTAAACATGTTTAAAGCAATTGATGTGATTAGCGCCATTTAAATTGTTTTTATAAGTAATATCAAAGAGAAAAATCACGGGCCTCTGCTTATAGCACTTTAGAACATGAGTACTTTCTACACTGTTTAGATTTCAGTCAGCTCCATATGAATGACACCACCCTACAGTTTATAATTCTATATGATTTTAAAAAGCCTTTATCATCAATTTATTTTACCTTTCATTAATTAATGGAAATAAACGTTGACAGTCTATGAACTTTCTGAAAAAGTTCTTTGTAGCATTGAATTGGACACAACAGGTTTTTTTTCTTGTACAGGTTTACTGGGTAAAGTTCTTACCTTCACATGCTTCAAATAAAACCTCATACCCAGGCTGTCTCTCCCTGCACATCGAACTCTCAGAGTAATTAAATGCTCCACACGATTAACACGATTTCTTCTACGAACGTCAAACTGCAATTTAGCCACAATTTTAAACAGAGGAACGGAAAGCAAACAAAACGAGACCCTTTCCTGGATAAATATACACTCTGAGCTCCTCATTGTTATCACTGTTTGCCCAGCTCTAGAACGCAGCAGTCATCGTGAACCACGGCTGTCCTGATAGGTTTGGCAATGCAGACACTCCTCTGCTAAAATATTTTTTATAAAAAGTGCCCGAGGTAGTGTCACTTTTTATGCATTTCCATTCTACTATTTTCATTTTCATGGTTTTATGCTCAGTCCTGCACAGCAAACATCGGTGCACTTTTAGGATCCAGTGCTTCTTCGGCTTTTATTTCCACGCTGAACCTCTTTACTGCAGGTTTGTGTTGGTCTTGTCAAGCAGAAAAGAATTTAAATCTGATTTGCAGTTGTTTGTGTAACAATCAGATTTATTATAATATTTGGTACGACAGAGCCCTGAAAACCATGAGAAGTCAAAAATGAATGTTAAAACATGTTAAAGTAAACTTAATATTGAACGTTTCTACACATAACTGATTGTTTCCCTCCTAATATGTTAAAGCTATATTTCTGATCATTTGAAGCAGGCTTCTGCAGAATGATTATGAACAATTATAGCTTACCAGTTGTAGATAGCTCCTAAACAACTTATTTAGATTGGAAAAGTGGAGGTTGACTGGATTGATGAATTAATAGTTGGACCCAAAGTGGATTGCTGCCGTTTTAAAGAACTCCAATCCCAAACATTTCGTAGCAGTTCATGCAAACGTTATTTGATACAAATGTTATGTAACTCTTGCAGTAAGTGGCCCCAGCAGCAGCAGAAATGTTTTTGCTGTGTCCAGATTGCTGCAGTCACCATTTGCACTTGCAAATAGGCAAATCATTTAATAAAACAGCAAAATGAAAAAGTGTTTGCTTGTACAGCTAAACACTTTTAAGATTGTAGTTGTGTTAAGATGATCATCTTTGGCCCAGGTTGAGCTAGCTGTTAGCACCAAGTCTCATCAGGACTCAGCTCTTACTCTAAATGAAGGCTGTTGAAGCCATCTGTAACAGGTAATATATTTATTGTTTATACTCTTTCTATGCAGTCCTATGTTAATATATCTGCATTGCTGTAAGTTTGGAAATATCTACTTTATGTTGGGGTAATCATGTACAAAAGTTTGTTCACTTTTCAGGAAAAATAAACAATTTTCTCGAAAATTAAGTTTGTACTTTTTAAAGAACATCAAGATGTGTTCTTGTTATCAAATGATGGAGACTGTCAACATTATCTTACAGTACCTGAGTCAGTTTTTCAGTCTTGAGTTTGTTCAGAAACCTTTAAAACCCTCACACCTTATTGTGTTTTGTCATATTGTCTGACTAAAATCAACCTAAGAAATGAAGTATTTTTAATGCAGTTTTTTTTTATGTATTTGATATTGAGAAAAATTTAACATTTGTCTGACAGTGGTGAAATAAGGTTTTTTTTGTTTCCAAACTCATCAGCTTAGACGTCTGACAAACGTTATGTGAAGCTATAGCGTTGCTACCATAACTGAGCAGATTAAGACTGAGCTGCAGCGACACATGCACAAACCAACAGATCAACATGGTCACCCAAAACTTCTCTACCACGACAGGCTAAGGTTTCGCCTATATTAAATGGAGCCTCGGTGAATAAAAGGCTCTGTCTGTGCTGCCTGAGTGAATGAAGGAGACCAGGGATGAGTAGTGAGCCCAGATGGAGCTGAAGGCCCATTAGAAGAATGGTGTCCGTCTCTTCTCAGCAGTAACCTGACCTGTCGTTAGGCCTCACTAAAGGTCAGGGTACAATGAACAGTAGAGACTGCAGGCCTTCTGCAGCAAAATATGGGTGATGTTATGCATATATTGTCATTTCATACTGAACTGGTAGTCCTTATGAGTATAGAAAATGTCATTCTTGAATAAATAGGCTGATATTTATGATGGATCGTCAAGATTTTGCTCAGACTGAATGCTTTAAAGACTGATCAAACTAAAACATAAGCTCGTTTTCTGCTCTGGCCAAATTCACGTCTCTGTATGTTGTCACGGTAAAACAGCGTTGTCACAGTGAAACTGAATCCCCAAATGATTTAGCAGAAATAAGTAACTGTAAACTATGTTTCCTTTAGTATTGAAAGGGACTGGCTTTTCCACCAATCAACAGTTTTCTCCCCTTTGTTTGTTTGGCTTCCTTTTTGCCTATAAGAGCAGAAGCAGACACTTGAGAAGCCTCATGAATGATTCACTCGTTAACAAATCAGTGGTGTTCATTGGCTGAGTGCTTGGGCTCAAATGAGCCGAGCCGGGTCAGATATGAGCTTGTTTACAGTCACTGTCACTTGTCAGTCTTAATGCACTGTACACAGCAGAACACTTATCTCATGCTATGCATTACAGCCCAATAATCGACGCTTCACTGTACAGCATTCTCCAGTTCCCCCTGCAGTTTAGATGAGAGTCTTTAAAGAACAGGTGTACAGTCTAATATGGTAGGCTAAATATACTATTTAACTATTGACAAAAAACCACTTCCAAAGTGACCAGACTATCTCTTTAAATTGATGCTTTGGATCTTTTGGAATGGGGTTCAGTGAACAGATTATGAACAGTTAACATCTTACATGTCATATAGCTCTTTGAATGGCCACAGCTCGAAGAAATATTTGAACCAGATTGACAAGCTATCAGCTGAGCAGGGCTAAGAACAAAGATTGCTGCTGTGTTGTAACTCAAATATTTCACAGTGCAGACCCTATTTTATAAACCTTTACACCAACAAATTTTGCATTACATACTTTTTTTTTTAACACAAAATTCTGAGGTTATTTGCAGGACCAGTTAGTGAAAGCAAATGGCTTGAGCAGTTCGAGGAATGTTATAATGTTTCTGCCATAAGAACCCACATTACACGTTGGTGTAGAAGTATATTAATTGTTACCTTTCCACAGAGACCCACTTTAAAATTATATATTTAAATTGTTTGTTTGTTTTCCAGCAGTAATAGTGGGATATTTAAATTCTGAGTCACACAGACACATAAAGTAAAACCCACATTCACCAGATTTGCATTGATTTCCTTTTTTCTTTGGTCATATCTCGGGCCAGTCAGGTTTTCCACTGTACAGTTCTGTGCATGCATGTCACATTATTGCTTTGTTGTATTCTTTTTGCTCTTGTGATTTGTGTAAGCAGTTTTACCTCCTCTCTGCAGTTCGAGGGCTGCAACAAAGCCTTTTCTCGCCTGGAGAACCTGAAGATCCACCTGAGGAGTCACACGGGAGAGAAGCCATACCTGTGTCAGCACCCGGGCTGCCAGAAAGCTTTCAGCAACTCCAGCGACCGAGCCAAGCATCAGCGCACTCACCTGGACACGGTCAGAAAAGCCTCTGCTTTCTTACCTCACAAACTTTTACCTTTAAACTTTGTTTAATGCAGCTCATACTCCATGTGTTGTTGCAAAATATAATATTAAATAAATAATGTTTAGGCATTAAATATTTGATAGAAACTCATTTTTTATTGAAACCTAATCTGATAGTAAGCTACATTAAAATTTTAGAAATTATTGTGTAATTTATAGCATGTGTGTCTGATTTACAGTAGGTGTAAACTCTATACTTCCTTTTCTTTCCAAACATTTAAACTGTACTTAAATCTGCACTGCCAGTCTTTATATATATATATATATATATTTCCACATTTTGACAGTTTAGTAAAATCTAGTCATCAAAACCTATCCCTAAAAATCATCTAAGCCAATGAGTGTTAGGGCATTTTTGCACTCTGCCTCAGCAGTGACACACCACAGATCATTTAATGATCAGCACCATTTGGCCAAGCTGCAGTTTGAGCCTAAACAAACTTGGATCGGGGCTACAAGCCTGCATAGAGTTCTGCCTGTTTTTCAGAACCTATAATTGAATAAGAAGGAAAGGTTGAGTCAGCCTTTGCTGCTGCTCATTTTGTTGCTGTAACTCCTCCAATTTATCACCCACTCTACCACCAATCATACATTAACACAGTAATGGAGTAAAAAAAAAGTTTGTTCAAACTATATACTTATAATGTGGGCTGCTTGTTTTCCTGACGTTAAGGAGAAAATTCCTCGGGGCTGAGCCCTAAATCCTCTTTTATTCATTAATGTTTATGAAGTAAATTGGCTTCAAAATAAATGTTAGCAACATGTTTATGATACATGGGTGAATTTACAGCTTTTGTTCTACCTTTACTGAAGGGAGCCCCACTATACTGAACAACTAACAACCAATCTATAAACTTTGTATTCTTGCTAAGGTTTTAGAAAAATTGATAAACTCTCAAGTCAGGAAATATTTAGATTATTTTAACATCTTACCTCTCCATCAATCTGGTTTCAGGGAACAACACAGCACAATGACTTCTTTGCTGAAGGTTTTTAATGATCATGAAGTATTGGGTGATAACGATTATTGTGCTGCACTTTACTTAGACCTGTCTAAAGCTTTTGACACTGTGGACCATGACGTCATAAGCTCTTAGAAATTGGTTTCTCGGATCACACTACTGGTTGGTTCTCTAATTATTTCTTAGATCGGAGGCAATGTGTTCAACATAATGGTACTTCTTCCAGCTATCTAAATGTCAACAATGGTGTACCACAAGGCTCAGTCTTAGAACCCACCCTCTTCACAATCTACATAACCAATGTAGGTCAGATCTTCCCTGATGCATCCTTACATTTCTATGCCGACGACACATTTGTTTATTATCGAGCTAGAACAGCTGCTAAGGTTTTTCTTCTCTTACAGTCTGCATTCGACATCATCCAGTCAGATTTGTTCCATCTCATACTTGTGCTAAATACTGATAAAACCAAAGGGATGTTGGTTTCAAACAGGAAGTCAGTACCAACCTCCTGTTATCTTTGAATGGTGTTCCTATGGAGTTTGTCGATTCTTATAAATACTTGGGTGTCTTGATCGATTTGCAGCTCTTTTTTAAGCCTCACATCGAAAACTTGGTAAAGAAATTGAAAGAAAAACTGTTGTTTTTTGGGGTTTTTTTTAGAAATAGATATTGTCTTACTCTGAACACTATGAAAAACACCTTGTAACTGCTACTTTCCTTCCCACCATTGACTATGGTGACATTATTTACATGAACGCTACTGCAAGCACCTTGCAGATGTTGGATACTGTCTATCACGATGTGCTAAGTTTCATAACTGGCTGTAACTACCGTACCCATTACTGCACCATGTATTCATTGGTTAACTGGACATCATTAACTTCACACAGACTCTCACACTGGTGCATTTTCATCTTTAAATCACTTATTGGCCTGTTGCCTTCATATATCTCCTCCTACATATCACTTTGTCATTGCAGCTACAGCGTACGCTCTCAGGACATAATTACCTGCAGTGTCCCCTCAGTGCGGACTGAACTTGGCAAAAGGGCCTTCTCTTACTTTGCTCCTGTAACCTGGAGTTCCTTGCAAAAAGATCTCAAGTTGTCAACTTTGACTACTCTAAGGGATTGCAAACAACTGTTAAGTTCATTGCAAAAAAACTATTGCATATATCCATCAATGTTCAGTCAGGTCAGTCAGGTCATCTGGACAGTTTATTTTTTTTGCTGAGACATTTCATCCTTCATCTGAAAGACTTCTTCAGTCCGAGGAGTCACAAACAAACTGTAGTCCCACAAGCTCCACACCAAAAAACTTTGCTGGTGATAAGATGGTTTCTGGGGCTCTCCCTCTCCCCCGTCAACTCCTCTGGGGCAGCCACTATGGGACTTTCCACTTTCCACTATGGGAGTGTGGAGCTTGTGGGACTACAGTTTGTGGCTCCTTGGACTGACAATGTCATTTGGATGAAGGAAGAAACGTCTTAGCCAAAAAATAAAAAAGAAAGAAACCATCCAGATGACCAGACTGAACAATGTTGGACCTGGATTATTGAGCGTGAACTTTCGTCTATTACAGACATGTTCCTGTTTTTCATATTTTACATTGATTTATAATGTAGCTGTTTTTGTTTTGTTCTTATATAATTTCTTCTATTTACTTTTCATTTTTTATGCTTTAATAATATTGGCTATTGATGTCTGTACCTCATCTGTGTTCTTTGTTTAAAACAGGTCTCTCTTGTAAATGAGTTCTCGAGGCTCAGTGAGTCTAATCTGTATAAATAAAGGTTGAATGAATGCTGGGTCAGCATTCAAACTATTTTTTCACACTAGTTTTCCTGTTTTTGACATTTCCAGAAATTTTTTTTTTGCAATTCAATAACTTCTATACATTTGCTTTTAAAGCCTTTTATATACTGCACCATAACCATCCATCCATCCCTGTTCTATTGTTTATCTGTAATCGGGTCACGGAGGCAACATGCCTAAGGGAGAAACCCAGATATCCCTTTCCCCAGCAACGATTTTCAGCTCATTCTTGGGGACCTCAAAGCATTTCCAGGCCAGAGAAAGTGCATAATCCCTCCAGCGACTTCTGGATCTTCCCCAAGTCCTCCCACCAGTGGGACGTACCAGGAAAACCTCTAAAGGGAAGCATCCAGGAAACATCCTAATCAGATGCCCAAACCACCTCAACTGACTCCTTGTGATGTGGAGCAGCAGCAACTCTACTTCGAGCTCCCCAGATGAGAGAGCTCATCGCCCTATCTCTAAGGCTAAGTCCAGCCACTCTGCGAAAGAAGACCATTACAGCTGCTTGTATTTGGGATCTCCTTCTTTCGGTCATGATCCAAACCTACAACTTGGCCAAAGGTGAGGGTTGGAAAATAGACACACCAGTGAATTGAGAGCTTTGTCTTTTGACTCAGTTCTCACTTCACCATGACAGAACAAAGCAATGCCCTCGTTACTGAGTACAAGGCCCCAATCCATCGATTCATCTCCTGCTCCAACCTACCATCACTCGTGAATAAAACACCCAGATACTTGAATTCTTCCATCAGAGGCAAACTCTTTTATATGACTCAGAGGTGGCATTCCACCCATTTCTGGTTGAGAATCATGTCCTCAGATTTTGAGGAGCTGACTCTCATCCCAGCCACTTCACACTCAGCTGTGAACCATGCACACTGAAGACTTTGGCCTGAAGTTGCCAACAAAACTACATCATCCGCATAAAGCAGAGATGAGACCCTGAGGTTTCTAAACCAGACACCATCCTCTCTACAATTGTGTCTCAAAATTCTGTCCATGAACACCAAAAACAAGGTTGAAGACAAGGGACAGCTCTGGCAGTGTCCAACCTGCACTGGGAACGTGCACAAAAGTGTGCAAAGAATGCAGAAACATCTACTGTTTTGGTCATACAGGAACTGGATAGTTCTTAAAAGCAACTCTGGCACCCCATATTCCCACAGCACCCCTGACTTAATACCTCGAGGAACATGGTCATAAGCCTTCTCCTGGTCCACTAAACACATGTAGACTGGAAAGGCAAACTCCCATGACCCCCCTTAGCAACTCTGCAAGGGATAAGATCTTGTCCACTGTTTCATGACCAGTACAAAAGCCACACTACTCCTCCTGAATCTGTGATTTGACTAATGGTCGGAGTCTCCCTTCCAACACCTCTGAGTAAACTTTCCCAGGAGGGCAAGAAATGTGATTCCACAATAATTGGAACACTTCCTCCCAATCATCCTCTTCCAGATAACTCCATCATTGCCCACATGGGCATTGAAGTCACTCAGTAGCACGAGGGAATCCTCAGATGGCACCCCTTCCAAGACACCATCCAGAGACTCCAAAAATGCTGGGTAATCTTAAGTGATGTTTGGTGGATCTGCATAAACAGGCAGAACCTTATCTACTGCAGCCCCAAGCCGCAGAGAGGCAACCTTCTCATTCACCGGGGAAAACTCCAACACTGAGGCATTCAGCCGAAGGCTTGTGAGTATTCCCACACCTGCCCGACACCTTTCTCACTGGGCAGCTCCAGAGTAGGAGAGCATCTAGCCTCTCTCCAGTAGTTGGGTTCCAGAGCCCAAACTATGCATAGAGGTGAGCCCAACTATCTAGTTGGTACCGCTCAACCTCACACACAAGCTCTGGCTCCTTACCTGCCAGTGAGGTAATGTTTTACATCCATAGAGCCAATATATGCAGCCAAGAGTCAGCAGAGCCAGGGACCCTCCCGCGCCTGCCATCTGGCATCCGTTGCACCCGAACTTGATGGACCTCCTCGCAGGTGGTGGGTCCATGTGGTGATGGCTTCCTGTCCTTTCTTTGAGCTTGGCCTGGCCGAGCCCCAGGAACCAAAGCTTGACCACCAGGCACTCGCAGGCGAGGACTGGCTCCAGGGAGGTGCCCTGGTGCATCATAACATTCAGTTTATTCAGGATATGAGTGCTATGACTTCAGTTTTGTGTAACTTTTATACTTTACTTATTATTTTATACAAAAAATGACTTCAATTACAAATATTTTCACCCTTGAAATACATTGACATTTCTTTAGATACTTCAAATACATTATTTCTTATCTGCTTTAGTGTATAGTTACTCCATTTATGTCTTCCTAGCTTTTAGCTAGTATTCTGCTGCTTTTAATTTATAGTTAGCCTTTTGCTACTGATCTAGTCTCTTGATACTTTTAGCCTTTTAGCCTTTTGCTACTTTTAGCTTTTAGTGATGGTTTGGCTTCTTTGGGCTTGTGGTTTGCTTCTTTTTTAACTCTTAGGGTTGTGGACTTGTGGTACTTTTAGCTTAAGTTTGGCTACTTTTTGTTGGTGCAGTCATCCAGGACATGATAGTCTTTAGTTGTTCAATCAAAGGCAGGTGACCATCTTATCTTGTTTGTTGAAAACATTTCACATCTTATCCAAAAGGTTTTTTAAAGTTATGATTACAGGTTGGGTGTTCAAAGCTTGTCGTCTTTTTCACAACAATAACAGGGCCATCCTGTGAGACCCAAACACTCAGAGGATGGAGGAGTGGTTCTGAAAATCTTTTGACCTTAAAGGCTCTTTTTTTTTTTTTAAAGGCAGAAGGTAAATGACACTAACAAGATCAAATAACTTTGTATTTTAAAGGCAATAAAATGAAATTTGCAGTAAACTTTTCATTATATAAGTTATATGTTTAATCTAGAAATTGAGGATACATGACTCAAAATGACTATAAATGAGTGATTTACCAGCAAACAGGAGTAAAAATTGCAGCATGAGAACATTGTACGAACGTAAACCATTAGTTACTCAAATTTAATTTTGAAACATTTTCTGAACATTTTATTTAGTTCATAATGTAAAATATACCAAACTCAAGCAATTATCATTAACATTATTTAACTAACATATTTCCTGTACTCAGTTAACTTCAAGAACATTTAAAACATATGAAGTGTCAGACAGGATTCTCTAACAATGTTAAGTCAGGTCCTCTGGACGGATTCTTCTTGTTGAAACATTTAATCTTTTATCCAAACTAGTTTGTCAGTCTGAGGAGCTGAAATAAACTCAGTCTTTTAAATAGCACCTTCTCCTAGTGGATCAACCACTTTGCTGGTGACAGCCACAACTAGTTGTTCACATGCAAAAGGAGGACCATAACAACTGATTGTTAGTGCCCTGAGGGTTGCTTGCTATTCACAGGGGGCTGAGTGATTCTAGCAATAACAGCATTGTAAGAGGACAGGTAGACACTGAGGCCTCCGCCCCTGTTTAATGATGGACGGATTCTTTTCACAAAATTGGCCTCCTTCATCTTCTCTCAAACCAACATTCCTCTCTATTAAGGATGTGCACATCTTCATCCCTGAAATAATGATTGCTGGCCTGCAGATGAGTGTCGACCACAGAGTCCTGGCCTTATGATACCCAAACCTAGACCAGTGGTCATTTCGTATGTTGTTTGAGTTTCATAGAAACTGAGACGTTTATTTTTTAAACATGACATCCCAATGGCTTTCAAACCCCAAAATGCATTTACAGCAAATACTGGTCCCAAAGATCCAGTCCCCCGGCACAAACAGAGTAATATTGTGTATGCTGTTCAGTGTCAGGAGGGTGATCAGTCTTACATCGGGGAAGCTAAACAGCCACTGGCCAAAAGGATGGACCAGCACAGAAGATCAACATCATCAGGCCAGGACTCTGTGGTCTACACTCATCTCCAGGCCAGCGATCACTCTTTCAGGGATGAAGATGTGCACATCCTGGATAGAGAGGAACGATGGTCTGAGAGAGGAGTGAAGGAACCCATCCATCATTAAACAGGGGCAGGGGCCTCTGTGTCCAGCTGTCTTCCTCTTACAATGCTGTTATTGCTAATATCACTCAACTCTATGTAAATAGCAAGCAGCCATCGGGGCACTAACAATTTGTTGTTGGGCTGATGGTCCTCCTTTATCATATGAACAACTAGTTCTGGCTGTCACCAGCAAACAGATTGATCCACTGTGAGAAGGTGCTATTTATAAGACTGAGTTGCAGCTCCTCAGACTGAAGTATTTTGGATAAAAGACGAAATGTTTCAACACGATGAATTCATTCAGAGGACCTGACTTTACTATTTTAGATTTTTCTACGTGGATTATCAAGCATGCATCAGGATACTTTAGGATACTGAACACAGCATAGTCCTATCAGTTTTTCAATTTTAAAAACAAAACTTTTCACTGTTTCTGTAACTGATCATCTTTTCCTTTCACTCTTTTCCTGCTCCTCTTTTCACTTCAAAATTTCTCAGCTTAAAGGTAGGACTTTGTCTTTATTCCGACAAGTTTCACTTTTACTGTGAGTTGGTTCTGTTTCTTTTTTTATTGCGCACACTTTTTGTGGTATGTTCTTTAGTTGTCTTTTCCTTTCCTGTGTCTGTTCTTAGAACGGGAATATAAATGTGTTAAATTCAGAAGAAAAAAAAAAAATGCTGATGTGAATCATATTCTGTCCTCACAGAAGCCATACGCATGCCAGATCTCTGGCTGCACCAAGAGATACACAGATCCCAGCTCTTTACGCAAACACGTCAAGATCCATTCGGCCAAAGAACAACAGGTGCAGAGAAAGGTGAGAAACTCTGTGATAGTGTATAAAAGGAAAACAGAATCATAAGATTTATCACAGTGCCGAGCCTGGAGCATTGGCTGTCCTCCTGTAGGGACACTGAATGCTGGCCTGCTGACCAAAACTTTTTCGCTCAGATGACTCAGATTGAGCGGACAGCCAGATCTGGGCAGTCTCTTGTGTTCTGACTTTCATAAAACATAAAATATGAAGAATAACAAACAAAACTCCAAGTAACAGCCTGAGCTCAACATGATAAATGCATCCCATTGTGTGCTTTCAAGCTCTCGCTCTTTTTCAGAGGAACATCCACAGATGCCTCTTATAAACTGACAAAACTTTTCCAGTTTTGGGAATCCTGAAGCTACTTTTAGTTAAATTTAAATGGCAGAACTTTTATCTTTCTTACCCCAGACCTTTGGCTCGATGCAATCTCGTCTTATAGGTCTGTAGACGATTCTGTTCACCTCAAGGCTCAGTTTTCACTTGGACAGAGCTCATCCTTACAAAGACCTTTTATAAAACAGACAAGCAGGCACCCAATAACGTTCTCCACTCAGTTCAGTGATAGGAACTGGTTCAGTTCCATTTAATTTGGTTATAGGAACACTGAGCAACAGATGCAACTTGTACTGTAGTGGTTATGCAGCCATAAATATTTCTGGCCAACGTTAACCTTGTGAAATGGTATTTTTAAAACATGCGCACATCTTTAATCTTGTAAAACATGCAAAAACATCAGAATATACTCCAAAATTACTTTAATACTGACTTTTAATCTTATTGCTGAGTTATTCATAATATGAATATGTTTTTTTTTTCCTCTCCAAAAATAATGTCACTTCAGCATGAATTGTAAAGATTATAGATTGTGGAGGTCTCATGTTGTTTGTGTGGCTGTTACACAAACATGATTATAGTTGATCAAAAACAAGCTTGAAAAAAAAAAGATAAAACTTTTGTTCTTCAAACTGTCTGTTTCCAGTTTTACTTCATTTCTTGACCAATTTTACAGTTTGATTCATAACATGTTCCTCCACTGATCATTTAAATGAGCAGGTTAAAAAAATCAGCCTTTTTCTGATTGACACTAGATCTATCCAGCTGATGTGCCAGGTTAGAAGAAGGAAAGGGGGGATTTTCAAGAATAATTACCCAGCAATAGATCAAGTTGACCACGTTTCATCATGTTTATGGTCAAAAGCCCATTCTCTCCCTGACTGGATGTGGGTAAATAACAGAGAGAAAGAGTTCATTGTTGTGGAAAGCGCTTGGATAGTGGCAGGCTGGATGATGTGTTCCTTTGCTCCATGTTGTAAAGGGAAACATGTGTGCTTGTAGCATTGTTAATAAGCTGTAGCGCAGAATACCCCAGTGGCCAGATGTTATGGACAAATGTCAAACAAACACTCTTGCTTCACTCTTGGAGACGGCCCAGAAAAGAAAACTGTTATGAGTGTCACACAGAGCCTCAATTGCACGTTATGAATGTTTTGCAGGACACTCAGAATAATCCTCAGGAGGACTCAAACATACACATTTATTGACATGAAGCATCTCCGTATGAAATCAAACAAAGATGATGCCAGCTGGGAAACAGTTACGTTAAACCACGTGAAAATTTGGTCAAAATTCTGGTGATTGAATCAGAAACAGCAGGAGGAACTGTACACAAAACAGAGATAAATGATCTTTTCATGTTTTCTGTTGGAAAAAATAAACAGTTTATATCTTAATTATACATCTAAAAATATGTTTTACCTGTCGTCTAACCAAAGTGAGACAGAATTTAGGGAATGCCAGAGGTTGAGTTTTAAAAATGAGGAGCATGATGGCAAATGGACTGAAAGGGAGAACAGTTGAGTGGTTTTCATGTGTAAAACTGAAAGCTTTGCATTCCTCAGTTCATGCCAGAGTTTTAAACCAAGATCTGCTCAGAAATAATGACGTTGTTGTCATTTTGGTAAGTATGTGTTGTGGATGACTATAAGCTACTACAGAAAACATACCACATCAAATTTTAGCTCAATATCAGTATAATGGAAGAAATAAAATAAACATATCAGTTAATTAAAAATATTGTATAAATGTATTATATAAATAAATTGTATAACTAAATTGGCATACTGTAAGTAATTTGTTTTATAATTAACATTGTGACTCAAAAGGTAAGCATTTAGGCTTAAAAGTAGGAGATACAGTATATGTGAGTATAATTTTACGTGATTGAATTTGTCCCGGCATGTGTTCAAACTGTTTAATTACACCAACTGTTGATCATTTAAATGAGTTAATAAGTATAACATCATTACTATTAACCATTTAGTCTTAAGAAGTCCTAAATATGTATCTGTGGTCATTTATTGATCATAGTGATTTGTTTGGTTTTTGCACAGGCAGTACTTTGTTGGTGATTTTAAGTGAAAATTGTTATGTCTTTGTTGACTTTAAAATCATAAAATTTAATCACAATAAGAAATCTTACTTATTTTCTAAAATTAATGCTTGAAGAGTCCATTTCCAGTATTGTTGAAGCAGACTGAACTGATTACAGTCAGACATTTGGTAGAGTCAGTCAGTATTTTTATTCATTTTAGTACTTTAGTACTTCATTTCTGCCTACAGCACATAATTGGCAACAAAACTTTCTGTCCGGACTTTTTAGGATGTTTGAAATTCAATTTCCAGAAGAGATGTAATTCATGGTTGTTGGACAGTCCTGTTGTGTACATCAGCAACTGTAATGTGTTATTAGATATTTTCAACACAGGTCAGCTGTTGTTTTGATCTATAAGCTGTATTTCACTAACTGAAATAACTTTTCTTGGATTGAGTTTCTCTTTGTGCTGTGTAATAATTTCCATCTGAAATGTGCCATCATGTTGGCAATGAGAGAAACAGAAGCGATCTCCGATTGTCTCCGAGTTGGTATAGAGATAATTTACCCATAATGCCAAAGGCCAAAGTATGACTCAGAATGGAGCAACATAATCCTTCATTTTTGCTTGCCTTTTATTAAAAATGCAACCATATTGTCCCAGTTATGTTTTTAGATTAACATCATAATCACATTATGGAGCAAAGGCTAAACACACACAAACAATTCCCATAGAATCTGACCTAAAAATGGACAAACGTAAAGCTATGTTGGCTTTAAGCTTAGTAATCTCAAACAGTGTGTGGGTTTCTTTTGAAATGTGTTCATTTCTTGTCAAACTTTAATGTTTATTTGTATCTGTTGGTACATTTCTCAGCTGCGGCCTTGCCCTCATCTGGAGCAGGACATCTTGAGTGACTGTCTGTCCATGCAGCAGCTCCAGAACTCCACCTCCTCGCAGCAACTTTACAACGGCAAAGACGGTCATTCTCCTGCACTCGGTCCAGACATCTTCACAGGTACACACATGAGATGCTGGCCAGGCTCCAAAAGACCTCAAGTAATCAAATATTTCCCTGGCAAACAAATAACTGATTACCATGATTTAAATAAGCATGGAATAATAAAAAGTAGAAGGTATCACAAAGATAGGGTGATGTGCCTGAAGGTAGAAGTAGAAAGTCTGATGCTAAACGTCGTCAGTGGTTATGCTCCACAGGTTGGATGTGATGTAGAGGAGAAAGATATATTTTGGAAGGAGCTGGATGAAGTGATAGAGTCTTCCAGGGAGGAGAGAGTGGTGATAGGAGCAGAACTGAATGGACATGTTGGTGAAGGAAACAGAGGATGAGGAAGTGATGGGTAGGTTTGCTGTCAAGGAAAGAAACCAGGAAGGACAGATGGTGGTGGATTTTGCCAAGAGAATGGAAATGGCTATAGTCAACACATTTCCAAAAGAGGGAGGAACATAGAGTGACCTATAAGAGCAGAGGAAAGAGTACGCAGGTAGACTATATTCTGTGTATAGAAAAGAAAACCCGAGACTGGAATATAAGGAGATGTAATGTAGAGCAAAGAGGGAGGTGGCAAAAGCAAAGTGGAAAATGTAGAGTTGTATGGGAGGCTGGACACTAAAGAGGGCAAGAAGGACTTGTCCTGATCGGCAAGACAGAGGGATCAGGCTGGAAATGATGTGCAGCAGGTTAGCCTTGATAAAGGTAGGAATGTTAATGCTCTAACAAGTGAAGAGAGTGTGATGGGAAGATGGAAGGAATACTTTGAGGAGCTAATGAATTAAGAGAATGAAAGGGAAAGAAGAGTAGAGGTCATAGAAACTGTGGACCAGGAAGTGGGAAAGATTAGTGAAGGTGAGGTCTGGAAAGCTCTGAAAAGATTATTAAATGGGAAGGCAGTAAGACCTGATGACCAGTGGTGGTTTGGAAATGTCTTGGAGAGATGGCAGTGAGGTTTTTGACTCAAATATTCAATGGCATATTTGAGAGTGAGAAAATGCCAGAGGAATGGAGAAGAAGTGTGCTGGACTGCTGGTGCCCATTTTTAAGAACAAGGGTGATGCACAGAGTTATAGCAACTACAGGGGAAATAATGTGATGAGCCACACAATGAAAATCTGTGAGAGAGTTGTGGAAGCAAGACTTAGACAAGAGGTGACTATCTGTGAGCAGCAGTATGGTTTCATGCCAAGAAAGAGCACCACAGATGCCATCTTTGCTTTGATTATGCTGATGGGAGAAGTACAGAGAGGGTCAGAAAGAACTCCAATGTGTCTTTGTGGATTTAGAAAAAGCATCTGACAGGGTGCCGATCAAGGGAGGAGGTGTGGTATTGCACGATGAAATCTGGAGTGGCAGAAAAGTATGTTAGACTGGTACAGGACATGTATGAGGACAGCAGGACAGTGGTGAGATGTGCTGTTGGAGTGACAGATAGCTTCAGGGTGGAGGTGGGATTGAATCAAGGATTGGCTCTGAGCCCCTTCTTGTTTGCTCTGGTGATGGACCAACAAACAGATGAGGTCAGGCAGGAATCCTCATGGACTATGACGTTTGCAGATGACTTTGTGATCTGTAGTGAGAACAGGGAAGAGAACTTGGAGAGGTGGAGATATGCACTTGAAAGAAGAGGAATGAAAGTCAGCCGTAGTAAGGCAGAGTACATGTGTGTAAATGAGAGGGAGGCCGGTGGAACAGTGAGGCTACAAGGAGCAGAGGTCACAAAGGTGCAGGACTTCAAGTACTTGGGGTCCAGGAAAATGGGGAATGTGGTAAAGAGGTGAAAAAGAGGGTCCAGGCAAGATGGAGTGGATGGAGAAAAGTTTCAGGAGTGATTTGTGACAAAAGGATGTCAGTAAAGGTCAAAGGAAAAGTTTACAAGACAGTGGTGAGACCAGCTCTGTTGTATGTTCTGGAGGCAGTGGTATGGACAAAAATACAGGACAAAGAAATGGAAGTGGCAGAAATGAAGATGTTGAGGTTCTCCTTAGGAGTGACAAAGATGGATAAGATTAGGAATGAGATCATCAGAGGTACAGCACATTGCACAACTGGGAGATTAAAGTTAGAGAGGCCAGACTGAGATGGTTTGGGCATGTCCAGAGGGGGGGGGGGCAGTGGATATATTAGTAGAAGGATGTTAGAAATGCAGCTGCCAGGAAAATGACAAAAGGGAAGGTCAAAGAGAAGATATATGGGTGCAGTTAAGAGAGGACATGGAAGTAGTTGGAGTGAGGACAGAGGATGCAGAGGACAGAGTGAGATGGAGAAGGATGACTCACTGTGGAAACCCCCGAAGAGGGAAAGTCGAAAGAAGAAGGTATCACAAAGCACTATGCAGGCTATTATGCTAAAAACAAAACAAACTTTGTTAGAATGTTCTGTCTTCAGTACAAAAGGTTAAAATCAGCGCTGTCTTTTGTCAAATGACTTCAGTAATTGTGGGTATCAGTTTTTGCTCCAATCAGCAGAAACTTCAATGGGAAAACCTGAAGGTTGTTCTAAATTTGTGAACATGTACTGCAATTGGAGCCGAAAGACTTCCACAAAAAAAAAAAAAAAAAAAAGCGAGGGACTAAAATAATGTCTGAGCATTTTGTTTAATGAATGAATGCACATCATCTTCTGCCTTTTCTTCTTCAGTATTTGACTTCAGATTTGCAGTCGGTTTGGTTAAACCTTGAAAATACCATTATGCGGGATCTCATACAATAGTGTCAAGCTACCACATCAAATATTTTCTCAGTACTTGCAAAAATGACAGAGCTGTAGCCGTTTTTGTTGTGTTGACTAAGATTACTGTGGTGTGGCAGCCCTATTGAATTAGACTAACTTCAAAAGTTCATCAGTTTAGATGCCAACCAAATAATTACTTTCTTAAAGTTTTATTAAAATCCATTTAGTGATGTATGAGATATTTTGCCAAAGTTACAGACAAATAAACACACACCAAGAGAAATGGGTGTATCGATAGACATACATCTAGTTTCTTATCACTTTTCCTTTTTACCGTTTTACCTTCTTGATCAATAGGGCTGGTAGCTTCTATGAAAATAAACCAGATCATTTTTCTTTGCTGTTCATGAAGCCTTTATTTTCCAGGCGATCTAATTCTTGTAGCCCACAGAACAGCAAATTGACAATGAATATGTCATCTAAAAACACTATATCACATGCCAACATTTTTCAGTCAGGTCATCTGGACAGTTTCTTTTTTTGTGCTGAAACGTTTCGCCTTTGGTCCGGAAGGCTTCATCAGTCAAGGAAACACACAACAAAACTGATTCTTCCCCCAACAGCTTACTCCAAAGTGGAACAAACCAGTTCTGCTTGGGATAAGATGGTCTCTTTGGTATCTCTTCCTTGTTGACAGTCTTGTCAAACTGGTTGAAAACAACAACGTCCATGCTCAATAATCCAGGTATACAATCCAACATTTTTCAGTCAGGTCATCTGGACAGTTTCTTTTTTTTTTTGTGCTGAAACGTTTCGCCTTCGGTCCGGAAGGCTCCATTAGTCAAGGAAACACAACAAAACTACATCACATGCTAAATCAAAATTTGCTTCCCCTGTTGGCACCTTAGTAAACTGCTTAAAGCTTGAATACAACACAGCGGTGTGACAACATTTCCATCATCTGTGCCTAAGAAATTTAAAATGTGGAAGAAACCAGCTTTGCCTCCAAATGTTAAATGTTCAAAAACAGAATGGATAAGTTTGTAGGTACAAGACGTCCCAACACCTGGCAAAGTAATCATTGAGTCATTGGTGGTAATCAGCAGCCATGTCAACATTCCTGCAAATGTAATTTTATGCTCTCAAGCAATGAAAATCATTCAGTCTTTGGTCAAACAAACAGCTCTCTCTGTGTCACTTACCTTTAATTGTTTATGCATAAATTACATCAACAGTTGAGACATTTGACTTTATTTGATTTTTGTTGGAACTGCTACAACTTTGTGACTTAGTTTTAGCTTGTATTCCATGCGGTCATGCTAACTTGTCTGATTGTCATGAAAAGACTGCAAAAACATTCACAAACAGAGCTTTTTATGCATCACACGAGGTCTTTAAACTTTCACCTTTCTATTTAATGAATTGGCCTGCTATTAAAAGTCAGCACCACACTGGACTGGAAACAAGAGAAACAATGCAATACAGTTATCTAAAGAGACAAGAAAGATGCCCTGCAGCTTCCGTTTATGGGCATGTCTGTCCACGTGTTATGCTTCATCCAGGCTCCCTGTTGTTTTCTGTTATTGTTGCTGGAGCCGTGCGCGCCATTAACGAGAGAGAACGCTCAACTTGTCTCTGAATGTGAAATAGGTCCTCCAAGACTCGGCTTTTTAACCATTGCATCCCGCAGTTTTTTACTTGATTGCTTCTAT